TTGAAATAGTCTTATGTTTTCGGCTTCTGCAAGTCCATCAATACCGTGTAATAATTTCTGAATACTGAGAGGATGAAATGAACTGGTATTCAAAAAAAGTATACGTCTTTGCATAGTATATAATTTACATCGTAAAAAATAGTGCTCCGCATTTTCGATGTCTGCGCCGCATTGGCATAATGGACTTGAAACTAAATGGTTAATAAAAAGATCATTATTTAAGTTGCTACAATTGTTTCTAATTCGAGTATGATGGACATTTAAGAAACGATCTCTATATAAGAAAAAAGATGGAACTACTGGAGGTTTATATAACTATTTAATCTTGTTTTTAAATGAAGCTAGCGACTGTGATTCGCGAATGTTTGTCGGAAGATAATTCCATAATTGAATAGCTGATGGAATAACTGATTTTGAGTAAATTTCGGTACGTCTGGCTAAAGTAATATAGTCACTATTATTCCTTAACGAATAATGGTTTTTTAACGCCATCTCGACAGATGGTGGAAAAAGTTGCATAGGATATTGTGGTAATGAATTATATTTTCCTTTATACATTAAAACTAGTTTTTGAATTTGTCGTCTGTCTGAAAGTGAAACCCATCCTATCTCCTTAACCCATTGCTTCATGAGCATTTTGTGAAAAATGGCTGTTTTCATTGAAAAGTCTCCCGTTACAAGTTCAAATTGCTATAATACTATAAAAACTGTTTCAACACTAATCAAACTTGGCACAAATGTTGACTGGACAATTGCCCTTGCAACAACATGCTCAGGCTTAAATTTTCTGTTACCATGGCAACGAGGGGACATCTCAAAATTGCCAAAAATCACTATTTTGCGTTGATTTTTTCCATCAAAATTGATTTCAAAGTGCTGCACTTTCTCAATGGATTGAGATAGAGTCAAATGCTTTTTAGCGTTGGTTACACGTTACCTTATGATCAATCTGGGGTCATTTACAGCCTCTCACAAGTCCAAAATTTTTCTTGGCGATGAGGGGGACTCCGCCCCCCTTCAAACCCCCCTTCTGGCAACCCCCTGATGTATCTTTTGGTTGGGGGGCCGCGCCGAAAAAGAGGTCACTTTTTTAACAACATTTCTCAAACAAAAACAAGTGTTTGGGGCCTAAATAAGGCATTTTTTCATCATTTGAGACAACAAAAAAGGGGGGGGGGGTGAAAAAGGCGTTAAAAGGCGTGTATATGAAGTAATGGGTTAAGTAAATATTGAATTGATACGGATCTAGTTAAACCAGTTACCACGCGAGCTGCTGGACGTACTGAATTTTTTCTAACGTTTCTTTTTCAAGCTGTGTACAATTATCCTATACTAAAGAAGCATATTCTAAATGTGGATGTAAATAAGATATGTAAATGTTATTTAGAGTATTTCTTTTTACCTTGAATTTTAGCATTTTCATCGAACCCAGAATTTTTGCAGCCTTGGATACTATAATAGATATATGTTCATGCCATGACCCATCTTGACTGAATGTTACCCCTAAATGCTTATGGTGGTTTACATAGTTACTTAAGCTGTGTATTATTGAAAAAAAGGTTCGGTTTATTTCGATTACAAAATGAAAAGAACATGACCTCAGTTTTTGCTGGATTGAAATTAACAAGCCATTGTTTAGACCATGATGTAATTGTGATAAGGTCTTTAATAAGAATTTCTTCCATATACGAGATATCTTTAGATGAGACTGCCAACGACCTGTCGTTGGCAAAAAGTCTAGTTACACTTAGAAGGGATTCGACAATGTCATAAAGAGTGATTAAAAATAAAAGAGGACCAAGGACGGATCTCTGGGGGGCTCCTCCAAGTAATGTTGTAGTATTAGAGAAAGAGGAAGACACAAAAACTTTCTGAGACCTATTATAAAGATAGTTGTTTAACCATGAGATCAATTTTCCTAGAATTCCATACTGTTTTAATTTGAAGATAAGACCTTTATGCCAAACTCGATCAAACGCTTTTGAAATATCGCAAAATATAATACATGTTGATTCTTTGTTGTCAAAAGCTTTACAAATTTGATTATAAATATCAATAAGCTGGTAAACAGTTAAGTGACCTGGCAAAAATCCAGATTGATTTTGAAATAGTAATGAGTTAATATGAAAATAGTTATACATATGTTTAAATATAATACGTTCCATCACTTTTCCAACACAGCTTATCAAAGAAATCGGTCTATAGTTTGATGGTTCGTCCTTATTCCCTTTTTTAAAAAGTGGCATTACATGAGCTAGTTTTATGGACAATTTAAAGCCTTTTGTTGTTTTTTATGGTTTTTTATACAAACTAACTAACCAAAACGCTTTGTGTTTTTGAAGATGAAGTTGCTTTCAGTGATGAAGCTGGATAAATATTTATCTTTTAACACAAACTATTTCTCCACATTCCTTTTAACTGTAAGCACATACAATAAAACAAAGCCTTTGCATCAATTTAGGGGATACCAAACATACTTATTGTTTCCTGGCTCATCACTTATATCTTCAGCGAAGACTATGATGTAGAAACATTTATTATTATCACTAATTGCTCAAATATTCAGGTAAGACTATGGTGTAGAAACATTTATCATCACTAATTGCTCAAATATTCAGCTAAGACTATAATGTAGAAACATTTATTATCACTAATTGCTCATTTTTTTTAGCTAAGACTATGATGTAGAAACATTTATTATCACTTATTGCTCATATCTTAAGCTAAGACTATGATGTAGAAACATTTATTATCACTAATTGCTCATTTTTTTCAGCTAAGACTATGATGTAGAAACATTTATTATCACTTATTGCTCATATCTTCAGCTAAGACTATGATGTAGAAACATTTATTATCACTAATTGCCCTTACCTTCAGCTAAGACTAAGATGTAGAAACATCCATTATCACTAATTGCTCATTTCTTCAGCTAAGACTAAGTATAGAAACATTAATTATCACTAATTGCTCATACCTTTAGCTAAGACTATGATGTAGAAACATTTATTATCACTAATTGCTCATATCTTCAACTAAGACTAAGATGTAGAAACATTAATTATCAGTAATTGCTCATACCTTCAGCTAAGACTATGATGTAGAAACATTTATTATCACTAATTGCTCATATCTTCAACTAATACTAAGATGTAGAAACATTAATTATCACTAATTGCTTATTTCTTCAGCTAAGACTAAGATATAGAAACATTAATTATCACTAAATGCTCATACCTTCAGCTAGGACTAAGATGTAGAAACATAAATTATCACTAATTGCTCATACCTTCAGTTAGGACTAAGATGTAGAAACATTCATTATCACAAATTGCTCATACCTTCAGCTAAGACTACCTTCAGCTAAGACTAAGATGTAGAAACATTCATTATCAAAAATTGCTCATACCTTCAGCTAAGACTAAGATGTAGAAACATTAATTATCACTAATTGCTCATTTCTTCAGCTAAGACTAAGATGAAGAAACATTCATTATCACTAATTGCTCATTTCTTCAGCTAAGACTAAGATGTAGAAACATTCATTATCACAAATTGCTCATACCTTCAGCTTAGACTACCTTCAGCTAAGACTAAGATGTAGAAACATTAATTATCACTAATTGCTCATACCTTCAGCTAAGACTATGATGTAGAAACATTAATTATCACTTATTGCTCATTTCTTCAGCTAAGACTAAGATGTAGAAACATTCATTATCACTAATTGCTCATACCTTCAGCTAAGACTAAGATGTAGAATTATTTATTATCACTAATTGCTCATACCTTCAGCTAAGACTAAGATGTAGAAACATTAATTATCACTAATTGCTCATTTCTTCAGCTAAGACTAAGATGTAGAAACATTCATTATCACAAATTGCTCATACCTTCAGCTAAGACTACCTTCAGCTAAGACTAAGATGTAGAAACATTAATTATCACTAATTGCTCATACCTTCAGCTAAGACTAAGATGTAGAAATATTAATTATCACTAATTGCTCATTTCTTCAGCTAAGACTAAGATGTAGAAACATTAATTATCACTAATTGCTCAAATCTTCAGCTAGACTATGATGTAGAAACATCTATTATCACTAATTGCTCATATCTTCAGCTAAGACTATGATGTATATAGAAACATTTATTATCACTAATTGCTCATATCTTCAGCTAAGACTATGATGTATATAGAAACATTAATTATCACAAATTCCTCATACCTTCAGCTAAGACTAAGATGTAGAATTATTTATAATCACTAATTGCTCATATCTTCAGCTAAGACTAAGATGTAGAAACATTAATTATCACTAATTGCTCATTTCTTCAGCTAAGACTAAGATGTAGAAACATTCATTATCACAAATTGCTCATACCTTTAGCTAAGACTAAGATGTAGAAACATTTATTATCACTTAACTATGTACAAAATGATTGTTGACTATCTCCGTAACTTCTGCAGTGAAGTTAAACTGTAGTAACAATAAAATCACATCCTTTCAGTTTCTAATGTGGTATGAGGCCACACACAAAATTTTTTGAGCTACAATTTGTTATGGGTAAAAACAAGTGTCCCAAATATTCAGTCTAACATTAATTAATGTCAGAGTGCATTATCTGCATTAGGACAAGAATAATGCTTTTACCCTTCCCTTATTGTAATAGTCTGGTAGTTACTGTCATCATCCTATAAATATCTTTCTCTTTATGACAGTTACAAAATTATTTTGAAATAAAATGTTTGGTTGTTGGCTTTTTATTTTAGTGTTCTTTTTCAAAATAAATGTATCTGCAAAACAATCTTAACATTAAATCTTCACTCCCCAAGATATTTTTTCAAACATGCCAAAAGATATAGAGTTTAAGAAATATATTTCAAATATATTTCATGTTTTGCAAGTTTACAGTAAAATAAGAATTAAGTTTGAAAAATTTAATAGTTTCATAGCAAATTGTTGAATCTGTAGGCATAATTGTTTAAGAAATACCTACCTACACAGGTTCCAGTTTGCTCCATATATGGTGATACACATTTACATTTGTGGTTAGTTGATGAGGAACCATCAGGTGAACACCCACTATTCCCTATAGAACATGTATCTGGCACAGTATTTGGATCTGGACATTCATCACCTAAATTTTTCTCTGTTTTTTAAAAAAAATGTTATATCAAGGAATTACAAGCATGAATACTGGCCACTAAATTTTATTGGAATTAAGTATAACTTAAAGACAGACAAAGTGGACTATTAAACTATTGTGGGTTCTGTGGTATCCTACTTTTTGAACAATAAAAATAGAAAAGAAAACACTTGTTGAAAATCAGCATGGTAACATGATAACTCAAAGGGATTAAAAACAACACTTTTTTAACTTTACAAAGGGCCTGAACTAAACAAATCACAACTATATTTTGAAAGGTATACCTAACTATAAGATAATTCATTATAATGTAATATATTTGTACAGCACATCCAAAAATTGATATCTATATAATACTTTACAATAACTTAAATATTTAATAAGCAAACAAAGGTCAACTTCTGATTGGATTATAAAAGCACTTGGTAAGCCTCATTTCTTAAAGATCCTGTATGTTTTTTTATTGATATTGTTACTGTGTGTATACCACACTTGCAAAAATTTATATATGAATATAATTATTCAAATAAAACAATTTTCAAACATCGAAGAATATGTAAAATGAGTACTGCAAATATTTGTGCACATTATATTTAATCAATAAATTACATGCATTCATTTCTTATTGGAAAATTTGACTTAGAATTTATAGAAAATAAATTTCTAATTACCTCTCTTTATTTACATGAAATGTTTAATTGGCTAATATCTTTATAAACAAGCAATTATCATAGTATTGCAAGCAATCCATAAGTCCCCTACCGGTTAGAACCCCATCAACAGTCTGAAGGGCCATTGGCCATTCACTAATGTTTCAATTTTTCTCTATTTTGAGTAAATTTGTAGGAAAAGTTCTTTAAAAGTGATCACAGGAAACAGTTTTTATGAACAGACAGACAGACGGACTGAAGGACACTCTAAAGTTAATATTTGAAACATCCCTGTTACCAAAATATAACATTTTTAAAAGCAAAATTCTTTAAGAGGAGATAACTCTTGAATTCATAAAAATTTTCAGCTCTTTTTGACTAATCACAAATATTGTTATATTTGCCATGTTTTAAGCGTATTTGTTGCCAAGGCAACCAATATTTTTTTCAAAATAGGAAGAAAAGATAAGACATGCATAATCTCCAGACTGCCATCTACCCATATGTCAAGTTTCATAAAAATATTTCCAGTACTTTTTGAGTTATCACTGGATTCAGTTTATGTGTAAAATTTGCCATATTTTCAGTCTATGTGTTGCCATGGCAGCCATAATTTTCAACATAGGACAAAAAGAAAAAAACGTGCATAATCTCCAGACTGCCATCTATTCATATTTCAAGTTTCATAAAAATATTCCCAGTACTTTTTCCGTTATCACTGGATCCAGTTTATGTGTAAATTTTGCCATATTTTCAGCCTATTTGTTGCCATTGCAACCAGAATTTTCAACATAGGAAGAAAAGAAAAAGACGTGCATAATCTCCATACTGCCATCTATCCATATATCAAGTTTCATAAAAATATTTTCATTACTTTTCAAGTTATCGCAGGATCCAGTTTTGTAAACGGACGGACGGACAGACAGACAGACGGACAGACAGACATACAGACGGACAGACAGACAAACGGGCAGACGGACGGAGGGTAAACCTAAAGTCCCCTCCGGTAAACCGGTAGAGGACTAATAATGTTTATTTGAACTTACAATATTGACAAATCTTTATTTGAGGATCATATTTATGAAATAAAACCATAAAAAAAATATGTTACAGGATCTTTAATTTAATTAACATTCCAGCCAGGTTTTTAAGTAAGTTGGACTTTGTAATTGTAATATATGGATCTGTATGGAAGGATGGCAGTTACTTGAAAGGATGCCTTGATGTCTACCTCATTGTTATATTAGCCACATAAATCAATTCAAGTCTAAATAACTCCACTGTATCTCATAATTGTATGATCAAGAAGTTAAACTTACAATAACTATGCAATAGTATATAAAAATTATGCAATAGTATATAAAAATTATTGTCTGTTGTAAAGAGTCAAACATAATCTGATAAGGATGATGTGATATCTGAAATGTGTAAACAATTTTCAAATCCTTCATTCATTCAACTGATTGCTTAATGACTAGTTGTCAACATTATACAACTGTAACATTTTGTTGGAATATACATACTCAACTGACACGTTCCTCCATCTATAACACCATTGTCATCATAATGTGTATTTTTGCATGAACATTTTGCTGGGGTTCCAACACACTCAGCATTTTGATCATAACAAGATACTTCATTTGAACAGCCTGTTCCAAGATCTATAAAACAAGAAATGTTAGTGAAACATGTTTGTTCCGCGTAAGTTAAGTTAAAGAATCATACATGTTACCTTCCACCCTCACAAAAGTAAAGGGGCACTGTGACCATTTCATTTGGACTAAAATCAAAAGAGGTCATTTACTTGGAATGTACAACACCCCATTATTAAAGTCTCACAAATTGAAAAGTGATTCAAATAGCAGTAGCTTCAGTTTTCTTCAAGAGTTTTTATATCCACAAGTTAATATCAGTCGTTTACTAGTGATGACCAACCTTAGATCATCAAATTAGATCCATAATTAAAAGCATTTTTTTCAAAATATTGGTCAGACAAGCTTTTTGTGGATAAGATCACAAAAGCCTTGAACTTTGCTCAACTGACTTCAACAGCAGCAGCCTTAACCACTTGGCTATGGAGGCCATTTGGTGTTGTATGATATCAATTCATTATTCACTTCAGTCAGACATTATGAGCTGGTATATCAAAAAAAAACACATTGACATTTAGGTCTGTAGGCATTACAACTGCTTGCAGGTTGGCTTTAACCATTAACGATAGAGATAACATTCATATATGCCACAAATAAAATATTCATTTCCTTTCAATATTATTATCTGACTTTCAGGAAACTTTACTCTGTCAAAGAAAGAATAACTAAGGGATCATCAGCAAAATATTATGAATTTCATTCATTTTAACTTAAGTTACTTATGCTTTGTGAAGAAATGTTCTACAGATAAGAATTGTATATTGTATTTTAACATACCAGCATTACAAACATTCCCATTTACTGTATATCCTGTTGAGCATGAACATTTCTTGTCTGCATCACACTCTAGATAATTACCATCAGTACAGTCACTGATATCAGCACAAGTTTCACCATATGCTGCTGCTGTACATAAGTGGGGAAGGCAATTGAAGATTATCTAAAGAAGAAACAAAATACAAATGAAATATATGAAAATAAGTATCTTTAAACAAGAGGGCTCTAGATTGCTTATTTGAGATACCCGTGCATTCCTAATAAAAAAGGCTTGAGTTGTACAAGTTTATGTGCCTCCAAAATTACAAAACAAAATGACAATAGAGGATTGATAATAGCAATAAAGAGAATGCTTCATTCCAAATAATCTTATAAGGGAACATATTTAGATCCAATCAATTGCGCAATATTATTCTTAACTTAGCGTAGATGTTTAAAATCGTTTTGACCTACAATTGCAACTGTTGGTAAAAAAATGTGATTTTTATTAAAATCGTCTTGAATATTTATTTTCATTGTCAATTGTATTGTGTGTCCGTCGGGAATACCATGGTTGCCGACGTGAATCCGAAAATCGATTGTCATTTAAAGTGAATAAGAGTGTCCGCCCGTTTGGTTTGCTGGTGTAAGTATAACAGTATGGGAATACTCTAGTAGTTTGCCGCCATCTCGCCGAAATTGAACAGTAAAATTAATAGTCATTTCAGCTCAAATCTCGCTATTTCCAGCTGACAAATCGCAAATTCAACTTTGGTGGAAAGCTTAAGGGGCTTGACAATGTTTACAAGGATATGTAGAAGACTAGTATTTTACCGACTTTAAGTCTAGTTTAATCGAATAAAGATGGATATTTAAACTTAAACACGGCATATCTGACCTGCCCTGTTAGTGCCATAGAACCTAACATTGTGAAATGGTAAGTCGATTTTTGTGTCTGCTGGTATAAGTGTGTTCGTTGGCCACTGGTAAAACTGTATTTGTCGGGAATACGCGAAAATCAATATGTAAATGGTCATTTAAGCGCTGAACTCGCAATTTCCCTCTGGCTCATATGAGCATTTAGCTAAATAAAACAGAGCCCCATAGTTGTGGCATGCCTGGGATGTCAAAACTTGCGTCCGTTAGTAAAATTGTGACCGTCAATAATACTCCGAATGCCGGCATAAAGCCAAATATTGAACTGGAAATAGTCATTTTAGATCAAATCTTAAAATTTCCGACGGGCTCAAAGCTAAATTCCGCTGGATAGCATGCCTTGAAAATTTGACCGAGTATCTTCTGCTACTAAAGTGTCCACTTGGAACACACTGGAATTTTGTTAAAAAGATCCCTCGGAAGAATAAATTATAGACTCGGTTTGATTGATTGGGTGGTTCAGTACTCCTTCTTGAATACTGAATCACTGATTTTGGATATGTTGCCTGCTTTTTGAATTTGTCTTTTGCTGACGTCCTGTCTGTGACATATTCTGATCCCCTTTAAAGTTTCCATTTTATTTCGTTCCGCCGATTGTTTTCACGTTTAGGGCACACACATTCTTTTACTTGGGGACCATACACCGCTTTTCATGGAACGCCACGACCGTGTCAAATTGAAGGTTTAATGCTAACAGTCGTATGAACACATCTGGATGTTTCTAGATTAAAACAATCAATAGTTTTATGTTTAAATGTTGAACTCTTCTCAGGCTAATGCTAGGGGGCGTGGACGGTAGTTTGTACTTGACAGTACCGTCAAAGATTGGCTCAATTAAACCAAGCCTGCAACAGTTTTCAATTTTGTCGTGGTTTTTTTTGCGATCTTTAGGGATTTTATATTTGTCTATTTGATGGAGTCTGTACATTTATGAAAAAATGCAACATTGATCACACCATCTAGCACCGGCTTGAGTGGTACTCAAATTTTCAACACTTTAAGTGCCGGAACCAAATATTTCGAAGGATTAAAAAAAGATAAAACAAAACTGAAGGGCAGAACTGGGCAAGTTGTCGCTACACGGCACTCGACACCTTGTTTAGCCTAAAAATAGTACGGCTAATTGTCTTTTAAGTTTTAATCTCCGAATTTCTGGCTGGTTTATGTGCACCCCGTGCTAAATGCAGAAGATAAAATTAGGTGTTATTCTTTGAGGTTCGAACTTGTTTCTACTTGTATAAGTGTTTTCTTCAAAAATACTCTCGTTTCTGATGTAAAGCCGAACATCTAACTAGAAAATGTTATTTTTGGTGAAATCCCAGAAACTCGGCTTGCCGGACCCAAAATAGTTGCCTAATGTAGATTTGACTGTTTGACCGCTATTATTGGTGTGTCAGTCAGGATATACTGGTATATTGACGATGTTAAGTTGAAAATAGAACAGTAAAAATTCCTTGTAGTTCAAAATCCGAATTTCTTGTTGGCTCCGCCAGCTCTATGATTATTATCGCAGATTCCATATGATGGCATGCTTATATGTTTTGACTGTGTGACGCTTGTTAAATTTTCTGTCAGAATAGTCTTGTATGTTACTGACGTTAAGCTGAAAATCAAAACTTAATTGATATTTAATGTCAAACATCGCAGATTATGATTTATATATAAATACAATTGGTCCAAGTACAATTATAAATGTTTAAGACATATTTTGATTAAAGAACTGTTACTTATTGGGGTTTATATACAGCATTTATCTATAAACTGCATAATATCTAACAGGTAAACGCTTTATTGAAGTTACCTATTTAAAACTTCTAAAAAATACCAACCAGGAAACAACAAAGAGTTGAATGATAAAAATAATAATAATATAAAGTCAAACGTATCGATATGATGATTTAGAATGAATTTCTGAATTTTAATAAAGTGATACATTTCTAACACTGTGATAACTTTTTGAAGATATTTTATTTTAAATAAGTTATTTTCGTAGATAAAAATTTCATGATAACTTTCCAAAAGAATATATCCATCCATAATGATATTCAGCAGTTATTTGATATTTATAAACATTTGTTTATTAAACCTTAAATAAATTTCATAAGGAAGTAAAAGTCAGCGCATCTGTCAACATAATTATCAACGTTATTATTTCATTAAAAATTGAAAGTCTTCTCATCGATGGAAATAAGGATATACTTAAAATAAGACATATGAAATTGCAAACAGATGTATGAAACTCGCTTTTTTCGTTTTACATATAAACATACCATGTAAAGTTTAATACCAATAGCTTTATGCATATTATTATTTCCATAATAATGCTAATCAAAGCTTTCTCGTTTGATTGAATTAAGGTTAATCTTTGCGATGTAAATTTAAAGTGAATTTAGTCTGTAATGAAATGTGTACAATACATAATTACAATGATATTTAGTACCAAAAAACAATTATATATGGGTGTTGTTGACTAGTTTAATTTTATACATGATCCGATAGCACATCTCTTTATGTGGCAAATTATAAAATTGTTCTAGAATATTATGTTTTTATTTATCGTATAAATGTTTAGACTTTATCACTGAGAACTTAAAGATATTTTTTTTCTAAATTCAAACAATATTTTATAATAATATCTAATTGATACTGTTTCTATTGTTTATCAACATTTGAAAATGTGCTTATAATAAATCAACTCACAATATATGCTGAGTTATTTGCATTGCGCAATTCATTTGGGACCAATACTAAGGTTGCCAAACATTTACATTTTATAATTTAAAAAAACTTAAATGATGTATTGGAAACAAAACACAGGGTATCTCAAAAGCTTTGCTATGAAAACTACAAGAAGGGCAAAACCCCAACCATGAAATTGGTATTTAGCACAAACTCCCTTTCTTCCTTAAAGTATTGTGTAAAGTCGCCAGCTTATAAACAGGTCATGGTTAAGGTTTAAAAGTAAGGTAAACCTGCTCAACAATAAAGATAATATTTACAGTATTAAAACAACGTATACAAATAAATTTACAAGTGCACGAAATAACCGGTAAAATAGTTTTGTGACGTACATAAAGGAAAAACCTTAAATATGACAATAAAACGATACCCATTGATTCACATGACATGTATGTACTGCTAAAACTGGGAACAGTATTCTATATACATATACTGTACATGTTTGCTTCAATAGTAACAAACTGTTAAAGTTTAAATTTGAAATGAAGTCAACTCAGAGCTTAGCCATATGAAGTAAACAAAAACATTAGCATATCCACAACTACAAACGAAGTGAATTTTTCCCAGGAGATAAACATTAATTATACAAATGTTCTCTTTAGGATTGGATGTTATAATAACTCTTAAAAGCGGTTGTTAACTTGTAGTAAATTTTTTCATCGGCTACAAGGCAGGATCTTTATAAGAACAGAAAAGTCCCTAAAAGGCACCCAAAAATGCAAAATTGAATTTTTTATGCAGGTTTAATCGAGTCTGTCCATAGACGGAAGAGGTAAGTGCTAGTTACTGTCCAAGCCCTTTAGTACCAGCATGAAATGAAAAAAGAAAAAAAAGTTAAGGTGTAAAAGTTATAGATTTTTTTAATACAGATAACTTTTATTTAATACAGATAAATGTATGTTAAAAGTAAATCTATATTGTCATGGTACTTTATAACCCAACAGGTGCTTAAGTCAGCTATTATTTAAAATGCACATAATTTGTTAATGCTATGTCTATTAAGTTTGTTTATTTTGTAGATATGAAAAATATTATATTACCAGACGCTTCATACGGCTCATTAAATTAATTGATGAATCCTTGAAAAATTACAAATTACATTACCTTATTAAACAGTCAACTTTTCTATTCACGGATAAAGTTTGAAAGTAATTCAAAGTAAATCATTAGTTTTAAGTTCGTTTGTGTTTGTGCTTTTGTTTCCCGATTTGCTTTGATAATCGTTATTAAAATCATTAATCACAGTGCAAATACAATAAGCACAACTCAGGGTTCTTCTATGGATATGCATTTTGGACCATAATCCTTACTTCCTTTTATTTGACTTCTTTGATAGAATAAATCTTTCTTATCATCCAGTATTTAAAATGACACACATTATCGTCCTTTCATATTAAGCCATTGGATGGAAAGATTGTTATTTTTTAAAATGTCATCAAGTACGAAATTTTCTTTCATAAAAATGAAATAATAAAGATAAAGAACCAAAACCACTTGCGTAAGGAAATATCTAACATCTGTTAATGCAACTAAAATACTGTTACAGATGAAAATATTTAACAATTGCAGATGAGTGCAAGCCTATGAATAGCGTAGATGGCACACGTTTTCTGCATTGAGGAATAACACTTAATAATTATAAAAGTAGTTGTTTAACATATGAATATACCAAATTTATGTAAGAAAAGGAAAAAAAGAAAATTTACAAACAAAAAATGCCCTAAACAGCATTTAGTTTGTCGGCTCTTTGTATCATTGCGGTTTATAACTACAAGGCAAAATCTGTATAAAAACAGAGAAATATTCCTAAAAAACCAAAAAGGCAACATTGAAATTTTTATGCAGGCTCGGTTTAATCGAGTCTGTCCATAGACGATAGAGGTAGTTGCTAGTTAACGTCCAAGCCCTTTAATACCAGCATAAATGGCAAAAATAATAAAAAAGTTAAGGTGTAAAAGTTATAAACTTTTATTTAATACGATAAATGAATGTTAAAATTAAATTAAAATTAATAATTTAAGTAGGATGTTATACAAACTGTTTTACAAATTGTAATAAAAAATTTATACTATCTTGTCAGTTATGATTTAAAATGCACAGACCATATTAATACAATGCCTATTACGTGTGTTTATTTAGTAGATTCAATAGCAGACGCTTCATACGACTGAATTAAAGTCGTTAAAAAATTCATTGATGAACCCTTGAAAAATTACATAACGCAAGTCAACTTTTATATTTTCTATTCATGGATAAAGTTTCAAAGTAAATCAAAATTTTCAAATTCGATGTATTTGTTTTCCCGATTTTCACTAGATAATTAATTAATCACAGTGCAAATACATGTATATAAGCATAACTCACAGTACTTCTAGGGATATGCATTTTGGATCATAAGCATTCGTTCATTTTATTTGACTTCTCTGATAGACTATATCATTTTCATCATGTGAGCCATCCTTGGTTCTATTTCTATCTGAATGAATATTTATGTATTTGTCTATGTGCATAATGAGTAATTGTCGAGGAACATAAATATGCCGTTCAACCATAAGATATATGACCGGAAATTAATGTTCATGTCAATATATGGAAAAGACATTTTTCGAGTCGAAAATGTCGAGCAATATTGGAAAAACAATAGAATCTTGAACAATTTTATCGAATGCAAGATGAATGCATAGAAATGTTAAACTTTTTAAAATGGAATTACTCAATATGACGCAATGAAAGTAATAAAGAACCATTTTAAAATATTTTGAATATATTTTGACAAAGGAACGGATACATATTGTACAAATTCAAAACTGCTGCATGTACACTAGAGATTACGAAATAAATAAAATCAAAGTTATACCAAACAATATTTATTTAAAGATATGAAAGTAATACGGAAAAAAAGCGAAATTTACAGCAAAGTACACAAAGCACATTTTTATAAATAATACCTCTATCAGCACATGCACTTGAATCCTGTGGCCACCGATCTGCGATAATGTTTTTGTTTCCTTTATGCGAATTATAAATGATATTTCAAATGATATAAAATGCTTAATTAAGTACGGAAGCTTCCTGGTGCAAATTTATAATATTCTATAAAAAAACTACTTCAAAGGAGATAAAAAAATAACTCCTAAGTAGACTTTATTACTCATACTAAGTACATTATTAACTCTAAAGATAGTTTTATGTAACATTATAAATTTACACCAGACCCTTTGAACCGAAAACTGAAGAATTGTTTTATTCAAGTTATGTCTATATAATCTGCTTTTACGTTTTCAACCCATGTATTTATGCATAAAATGTTGCTTTTTGCTGTATAACATACTTTTGTTTATCATACTGAATTTATTTTGCCTGTTTAAATAATCATAGTAAAATATTCTAAAAAGTTGTCAAACTTAATAATTATGCTCAATTCGGCGACTCGGAAAATAAATGTATCAGTATTTAATGAATATACAGAAAATATAAAATGACGCTTCGTGGTCCGTAAAGAAAATGCTTAATTTAATTTTACTTTGAATTTCAAATGATGTACGATATATATACATTATATATATTTAAGTTTATAATTTGTTAAAAATACATTAACCTTCTCAGCCGAATCGTTTAATGCTTATAATATGCGGAGAATCGTGGCAACAAAAGTGACTCAAAGGTTACGTTCAGTACGTGGCCCTCATAACAAATTTTGAAGAAAACAAATAGACAAAAAAGGAGGGAGGGGGGCATCAGTATAATGTAATATTCCGATAGACTTATAGGCTAGCAGGTATAAGAGAGAAAAATCAGCAATAACATCGTACGATTAACATTTGGTGTTCATGACTAAGCTGATATATAGCTGGTTTCTTGAAGCCTTTTTCACATAAGATTTGTGCTACATTATGACAAATTACATTGAAGAATCAGATTCATTAGATCTATTTAAAAGTAATTTCCAAATTTGGAGACGTCAGATCTGGAAATACATGTAACAATTTTATAGGCCTATATTTATTCGTTCTTTTAGGCAAAACAAGAATGAATCATACGTGTGACGGCAACAACTTTGAGTAATGTGAATCTTCCGATAATGATGAAAGGGACTTTCTCTGCGCGTGCGGATCACTTTAGTTTATTCAATATACTATAAAGGATGAAAAAGAAGATGTTTCTTATCTCTTCCCATCATAATTCTTACTGCAATTGAACAAAAATGTTCTTACAAAACAGCAAGCAAATATGAAATATTATCTTACAGTATTGTTTTGGATAACAAAAAGGCATTATATCAGTCCAATGTCACATTTATGACCGATGCCAATATGACCGGCATAAGGGTCATGCACTCAGACATGTTTTTATATACAATATATTGCTCGATATACGAAGCATATTTTATCTAAACGATGATCAATCCATTTATGTTGTGCTATCAATTCTAATGTCACACTGACACTAAATAATCCAGCCATAAAATGCTACATCACCATGCAACAGATATGGTAAATGCAAACAAATATATCCAATTAATGTACATATGTTTAGTTAATAGACAATTACCCCTCCCAATGAACAAAACAACAACAACAAAGAAAGAAGCAAACAATAAAGCAAACAAAGTGATATTTTGCATACTTATTAATTAGATTCTACACTTTTCCTTATATCAGATATTTCTTTTAAATAATATTATAATTATTACTCACGAAAAGCATATATCCTTTCATCATGCTATCTTACAGATTAATGTATAAGATAGATATCTATAAACATTCATTTATAAACCTTACTAAACTACACAAGGAAGTAAAAATATACCTAAACATTATTCGTTCTTTACATTGCTATGTACATTTAATAAAAACATACCTATACCCATACGAAGCGTGTATAATCATTATACTATTTAACTTGTTTTCCAGCTTCCATGTAATAGAAAGAGCACCGAAACACGAGGCTATCTGATTTGTACGAGGGGGCGTAGCCCCCTAGTATAATTCAGATTGCCGAGTGTTTTGGTGTTCTTTCTCTTTTATGTCATAGTCAAATATAAAAACGCGTTCCATGTTGTCACAATATGAAACCCCGGGAAAAAGTAACCAATGTACGAGCATCTGAATATGATATTTTTGTCGCTTTCCCTTTCTCTTCTGTCACAATAAGTAAACCCCAGCAAAAAAGAGCAAATCAATGGGCATGCTCTGGAGTGCAGGTAACTAATACCTGCACTCCAGTTAACGCACTGTGCATGTATATGATTTATACGATTTAACTCTGACACATTTTCAACAGAAAGGTCCCCAAACTATGATACAATAAAATTATATTTCGTATGTACTGTTCAATAGTACGTGTTTACAAATATTTTTATTTGTATCCACTGAATGTTTATTATTTAATTTCTTATTATCTATCTATTTAAGTGGTTAATCATAGCTTTGGACAGAATAAAATATCTTTGAAAAAAAAGGTTAACAAAAGTTAAACTCATTTCTACATTTTCAAAACATATACATTTAGAGAGACGTAAAACACAATTTTACTACGTGTTTTGTATTTATAAAGGGAGTGACCCAATTTTATGTGATTGCTCAAGCATATGATTGTAGTCAAATTAGATATAATTTTTTTTTTTTTTTTTTTTTTTTTTTTTTTTTTTAAAAGATAAATTTTCTAAGATATTAAAGTGAAATATGCATATTTTCGTATATCTTAAAACATCAAAATCATTTGTATAAACATTTTATTTGCTGATTATTTTTACTGAACCAATAACTGATTATTTATTTAAAAACTATTTTTTAAATTGTGTCACGTGTTAACCGATATATGAGTAACTCATTTATAGGCACATCATGCCTCAGAAATGAATAAAGTTTGACTTCTTTAGAATTTCATAACGTTTTAAATAATGGATTTTAGAGCATGTTAGGTGTTTTTTACCAGTAGAAAATACCGATAAATGTGGTGTAATTTGTCACAGAAATAGCAAAATGTAAACAAAGTAGTATAATTTTCGAATTCCATTCAAAATAGTAAGTCACCATAAGTGTACTTATAGCAAAAAGCAACAAAACAAAAAAATGGAAGGTCATTGGCCAGACAGTTACTCTTTCAAAACTATAAAACATCACCAAATGTAAAAACTTTTGAAAAATAAAAGTTTTTTGGGACATAATGAACCTTTAAGAAAATTCACTGGAACCCACGGTACACATTCCGCATATTCTACAATTAATACTGTTATATGATATGCGATGTTACGCTAGAGCCATCAGGAATCAATAAAGGAGACTAATTTACACACTTATTCTCGCCCATTCTTGACAAACTTTAAAACCTAACGTTAGTCATCAGGCGGTGTCGGGGAGGGCTATTTTTCCCTTGCCTGAGAGCTTCGTTTTTACTTTCACCTTATCGTAAATTTCCACTTCATATAACATCATACTGTTTGTAACTTGCATTTTCTTACATCATACTTATAGTAATAAAAACACAAAACGCCCTTATATGTGAAGTTTTATTTTTTTAGTTTATATATATTTTTTTCTTTTAAACACAGTTTTATAGATATATTTAACCGAGTTTATGCCATATTGACCGCAGGCTATATTCTCTTTTGTAAAGTACTACACAATGACCATTCAATAACGGTCTATTCATAATCGATGTAATTTTATCACCTTTCTAGCGACTGTGTTTCAGTTCAATTTTTGATACTATACAGTACACACGTATTGAGATTTTGTGCTCGATTGTGTGCACATTATACATGTAATACACCCCTGATGAAGACATAATACGCCGAAAGTACTTGGGTATTTATACTTTAGCACTGTATGAACGTTTATTTTCTCCAAATTTATTGGGTTTTTCTTCCACGTTCTTGTATCCTTCTTTGGATCCAGTGTTTTTGAAAGGTATTTTGTAGATGCAAATATTTTTCACAAACCTATATATATATATATATATATATATATATATATATATATATATATATATATATATATATCAGACCATACTTGTGGGGGTTTATATTTAATGTGGGGCATACATAAGGCCTCGCAACTCTGGCATGTTTAAAACGATGTATGGGGGCGTAGGCTACCCTTCTAAAATAGTGCCCGTAGGCCGGTTTTAGTAGTTAATTGTATATGTCCCACAAATGTATATATTTTTAATGGGGTTTTATGTTATTGGTCAATATGTTTTCACCTATGGTAAAATTAAATATTTAGTTGATATATATGTAACTTAGTACCCCTTAGTTCTGTTGCATGGAAATGTTCATTCTATGCCTACATAGTGGCGTATATAAAAACTGACTGCATGAAATAATGCCACTCAACTCGGTCTTATATATAGGCCCCGTAAGTGAAGGTATGTGTGAATATATAATTATAAAGAAAGTGTACTTACACTAAACGGGAAGTTAAAAATATTATAATAATAATAGTTTATACACGACTTTGACTAAAAAATGAAGTTATATATTTGATAATAAGTAGTTCATGTCGGTTAATTTACTGAACATCAGTAAGCTATTATTAAATAAACATTCATTTTACAGCTTGGTAAGAATGTCTATGAACTACGGAAAAAGTCTTCAGGAATAATTAAAAATGATGAATGGAACATTTTTCGATGTAGCTGTATTAAATCATTTTTGATCTACGTTTGTATAAGTTATAAAACCCTTCAGCTTAATAAGGATGTTTACCGTTGGTTTAAAGATCAGAAGTAACGAAATTTTAAAATAACTTAGAAAAGCTATATACATTTATATAAACTAAAATTTCAAAGAATAACGTTGTCATAAGAATAATTCCATATTCATAAATAACCTGTCAAAACAAAACATATATTTCAAATGGCAAAGATATACAGTACGCAAAATTAAAAAAAAAATAAAAAAATAAACAACAAAAAACAACAATCCGGTCTGTAAAATGTTTGCAGACATGCAGATTCGTAAAGTGACTACGAGAACCACAATATTATTGTGTTTGATATTAACAAATCCCTAGTGTGATGTATTTGTGATGCATTTCATTCGCAAATAACTTCCTGTTTGAATGATTTAAAAACTTTAACAAGTTACATGAATAAGGAAAATTTGGCTTAAGTTTAATTATATGTACTAAGGTAAATATATGCTAATATAATTTGTGGCAGTATAAAAATGAAGTAATAATTTTGTTTGTCCAATTAATATTGATAATCGATTTTATATGAATTACATCTATATGTCCTTTTTGAAGGTAACTCATTTAGGCGATTCGTATAACTTAACCCGAAGTTGATGAGACTTGACGTGAGTCTGAGAAAAAACTCTTATTCTAAAACGAACCTTGTGCATCACTTCTCTGCAATTCACCGTCTTATTTAAAACGCTAGTTTTGATAGAATTTTGTAAAAACGCTCTGGAAACAAATTCTAATCCTCCTATTTTAGTAAACAATATAATTCCTTGGACGTTTCGAAGGTCTATCCTTATTTATTTTGTAAAACATACTTTGGTAGTAATAAAATATTTAGACATGTAGGTGTGTTAACGACAATGATGTGAGACATAACATCACTTGAATGTGTTGAAATATTATAGCTGGCAAGCTAGTTCCAACCGAATAAAAACCACATTGAATATAAGCCGCAAAAAATAAAAATTCGATATCATCAAATATTTCACCTGTTAGAAGACACCTAATGATAGATGTACATGCATACATAAAGAATATAAGGCTACCTACCTACCTACCTACCTACCTACCTGCCTGCCTGCCTGCCTGCCTACCTACAGTAGGGTGAACGTTTCGGTTGTCAAAAATAGCGTTTTTCGTGCGTCCGTTTTTCGTGTAACGTGCGTGCGTATAGCGTGCAACGTGCGTTTGCTGAAACGCTTTCTCATGCGTGCATCGTTTTCAAGCGTTTAACGTTTTTCGTTTTCCGTGTATCGTTTTTCGTTTATCGTGCGTCTGAAAGCGTGCGTTTCTTATTTAGCGTGCGTCTGCGTTCGTCTAAGCGCTTAAGTACCGTGTTTTACGTCTGTTACTATTCAGAAGTAAAAGAATATCTTAGATAGATATATTATGTAAATTTCTTGTTTCTTAAACATGTAAGAGATGTTCTGTGTCCGTGTCAAAGAATAGAAATATTATATAAAGAAGTATTATTGTGACGTTTACATTGAAGTTTTAAAGTTTGTGACCTCGCGGTGAATACTGGTCAGATTTCTACATGCTTTACGCCGAAAATTAATTAGTTTTAATCCTAGTTTACATACGCATATAAGATTTAGTTACTAATTAATTGCAACATTTTTGATATTAAATTCAGCAAACAGGTGTTTATATGCGTACCAGTATATATTAGATATGAAGTTCGTCAGACATCAAATGATGGTAATCAGACTAGCACCCCTACCCCTTTACAAGTTCATCTTCTGACTTTTCATCAAAGACTGTCCGAACCAGATCCGAATCATATTTAGGGTGATAATTATATTAGACAGTTCCTCCCTATTTTTCTTGACAGATTTATATTGATATGTAACAGCCTGGCAGGGACTCGAACCCCTGACACTCGGAATACCATTCCGCGGCTCTTGAGTTCCTCCGAGCTATTCGGCCGCTTACACGTTTTACTTGTTAAAATACTAAATCGTTATAAACCTACTGTGTATGCAAATATTTCTTCGAATTTCCCAGGGTTACTTAGCATTGTGATTTAATTTCTACCTGGGCTATACAAATGTTATACAGTCACAGGGTAAGAAAGAA